ATGCTGCTGTCCCCGGTCTGTTATGTGATCACACGCAGAGGTCCTACCTTCACGCTCGTCCCTACAGTGCTGTGCGTGTTGGCATTATCAATCTAGAGAAGAAATGCTGAGGCACGGGTGGTGGATTGGGCCAGGGTCCGGAGCACCAGCCCCAACAAGGGCTGTGGGTCACAGACCTTGGTCCATCCAGTGTTGCATTGTGGCCAAGGGAGATTTCCAGGACTGTTACCTCCTGTCCGATGTTTCTGCTTCCCTGCACGCACCAGGGTGGCCACAGTTGCCCCCTGCCAAAGTTAGCCTGGACTGGGGAAGACAGCTGAGATCCCACTATCATTTCTGTGCAGCCTTGAGCAGTTAACGTGAGCTGCCACACAGTGTTTCATTCCCATCACTGTGAGTGTGGATCTGGGTGGTGAGCTCTTCTCTGGCAGTCCTTCCAGCACTGTCTGGCCCATAGAGCTGGGAGAAGGACTGGCACCTGCATTGCTTGCTCCAGCTCCATCAGCAGGAGCTGCATTATCGGTTGGTCTCTTGTCAGTGCGTGCCTCTCAGTTGTCAGTCTGTCCATCTCTCTTTATGCCTCTGTGTGTGTGGCAGGGAGCCCTCATGCATCCCTCAGCAGAGAATTGAGTGCAAAGCAGCAAAGAACATGACAAGGAAAAAACGGAAAGGTAATGGCACCTTGTTAATGGCTTCCTCCCTGAAGGCATGTTGCCAGCATGGCCAGGAGTGGTTTGACCTTTAGCTTGGTCCTGCGGCATTTCATGATCCTCCCAAGACAACAACCAGGAGTACACAAAGGAAGGGACAATCCCCTGTCCCAAGGATTTGGGGACCCAGTGATTGAAGGAAGCATCAATACCCTTTTTGACAGAGAGATAACTGAAGCTCATGAGCGCAGAGCTGGAACTAAACCAACCACCTCACCCAGCACCTCACGTTAAACACAGGCTCACCTTTCCTCTGCCCAGATCCCCCAACTCCCCTGCACCCTCGGTAGCTCTTTAGAGGTAGATGCTTTGCCACTGGCAGTAAGGAACAACCCGTCCCGATCCCAGTCCCAAATCCTCAGTGGTTATAGTTCATTGTTTCCAAACGAATATAATATAAGCAGTGCCTCCCTCCAGCCCATTTAATCCACTGTCCTCTCTCTGCCTGCAGCATTCTCCAATGCTTTCAACTTATTCCCCAAAGACCCGGACGACAATATTAATCTTCACAGCCTGGAGGTGACTGCTAAGCAGCTGGGGATTAGCTTAACCAGTCAAGAGGCATACGATGAACTGGTGCGTGCAGATGCCGATGGTGAGTGCACTAGACCACACATTACTCCCCTGTGGGTTGTTCTGAGCCAATTTCTGGATGTGCAAAGCGATCCTCCTTCACGTTCCTTCCCAGCCCAGGGCAATACTGTACCGAAATGTTTCCTGAGCCAGAGGCTGTACTTGGGCTGCTGCATTTCACCACTTACCAGGGACTATCCTTCATGAATACGTTGTGCTTTTTGGACCTCTTTATGCATGCTGAAACACCAAGTTCCACAGCCCACTTACATGTGAAAGCTTTAACAGCTTTTCTCCTACCCTTAGGTTTTAGTAGCAAATCTTTCTGCAGCACCAGCTCTAAGCTGCTCACCCCAGCATTTCATTACAGCAAAAAACTGCCTTGCTAATAGAGGTGCTACTTGCCTGCAGGAGACAGGACAGTGGATTTCTCTGACTTTCTGGACATCATTACTGACAAGAAGCATTTCACCCAGACAATATGTAAGTAAGAGACATTCTACTCCAGCAAAAGCCTCGCTTATCCAGAGATATCTGAATTTACCTGATTTTCAGACTAATTGGTACCAAGCAAGAAATCAGCATCTGGGACCCAAAGGAATGAAGGCCGCTCTACTCAGACAAGACAGCAATAGGTCAATGGGCCATGACAGGCCAGCTCAGGGTTAGCTCTGCCCCCACGACCAACCATCACTGTGCTTGCCAGTCTCAGGGACAGGGGCAGGAATCCAGCATTCCGTCTAGGTGTTCCTGGCTGCAAAAGCAGAGGCCAAACTCTTCTCTTACAAGATGGGACACAGGAGGAGTAGAAGACCTTACTTTCTTTGGCTAGTGATAAGCTGCAGGGAATTGTCCTCCCCGCTAGATACTTAATCAGCACTCAGCAGAAAATGGGGATGGATCCCTATGGCATAACTTGTCCAGATCTTCCTGGGGGCTGCTGGGATCTCTGCTCCCTTTGAGCTCTGTGAAGGTAAGACAAGGCTCAGTCATGGTTCTGACCACTCTCCTCCTCTCCAGCCCCTGGGAAAAATGACTCAGGCAGCTTCAATTCTGTCGATGCCAAAGGAATCCTCCTCTTCAAAGTCTTCTTGAAGCTGGTGGAGTTGGCGGCTCTGCCCCAGAGAACTCTGTTTCAGATTATCAGGTGAGCTTCCTTAGCTCTGTGAGATAGAGAAGGGAGGTCCCCACTCTACTGGGATATTTGTGCCGTATATAACAAAATATACAGAACACAAGGGCTCCAAGACTAGATTTCCAGAAATGTTTTATGTCTAGTTGGACATCCAAAAGCACCTGCATAACTCAGACACCTGCTCTACAAAGACACTGTTGTAAATGCCACCATGTGTCTATCACACACCTTTCCAGTTTAAATATCCTCACACAGCCCGACTTTCCAGATATGTGGGTGCACAGCAGCCAGCGCTGAGTGGGGCTTTGGGCTGTGTTTCACAGGACAATGACGCCCTCTTTTGTCTTCTAGTTACTACAAGCAGAAGCTTAGGGACTGCACTGGCCAAAAAGTCTGGTTGGATGGTGACTTCCTCAAGTGTCGCAGAAAGAAGCCCCAGAAAATTCAGAAAAAGCCAGTTTACTCGATGCCTGCCTTTGTAAGTGCTGCCCATGTCTCAGCCATGAACAAAAGGGACAAAACAGCTTACAGGGAGCACCTCAAAGGTAGGTAAGGCTTGCACACTGTCACTCCCACTCTGTCCAAAAGGGAAGTCACTGGAGCTACGAGGGTGACAACCCAACTGGGGCATTTGCCACAGCTGCTTCTGTCCCGTCCTGGCACGTGGCCTTCTCCGAAGGTGGAGGATCGGTGCTTCTGGTATCGAGTTCAGCAAGGCTCAGGGTCAGCCCTGCGTCAGCAAACCCTTCCAAAGGTAACTCCTAAGAGGATCACAGAAAACGGAGCTGGAGCAGACCGTGGGAGTCCAGCCAGCTCAAAACCCGCCCAGGGCAAGAAGCAAAATCAAACAGCTGTAGTGGGTTCTGCTCCAGGGGTTCATATGGGCAAAGGAATCACCCCCCAGAGGTCTCTGTGCAAGGTGGCTGCCGTAAACACCCCACTACAAAGCACCTAGTGGTGGGTGAGCTCTGGGTTACCCCAACACCTACAAGCAGCTCTACGCCATGGATTGCTGCAGATTAAGCACCTCAACAACGTAGCCAAGGCACTGGTGCCTTTGTGGATCTACGCCTGCTAATGTTGGGCATGCCGGATGGCAGCTCCTGTGACTCGTGGTTCAGAGGAGTGAGGAATTCAGGACTCGCCGAGTCCTTCCGCAGCGAGAGGAGGCAAACCAAGAGGCAGGAGGCACCTGGCTGTTGGCTGCACAGTCAGTGACTCTGGTTCCTATTTCCCTTTGCCCCGTTCAGGCAGCCCTTATGCCCAGGTACCCATCTTCCCGCTGATTTCTAAACGAGACGCAACGACACGAGCAAAGCCGAGAAAGGGCTTGCAGAAGGTGGCGAGGCAGAGGAATGAGCCAACCGCTTTGTTTGCGAGCTGTTTCTTCCATGACAGAAACCGGGTGCAGGAGGTGAGAGAGACAAGCAATGCTTCAGCTACATAACAGTATCGAACGAGGTGCGGGGACAAGCCTGAAAACCCATGCTTTGTTTAATCAGGCAGCTGCTCTCAAGCCTCCTGCTCTCCACAGAAAGCAGAGACGCTCCCCTGCCGTCAACACCGAGTGCCCAAATACACCCCGTCATCTGACAACAGACAGCCCAGGCAAGACACAAACACAAGTGAGTGTGAAACGTAGAGGGAAGATGTTACCCTTTGTCGTACGGGACTGCAATTAGAGCAGACATAAGTGTGACTGGTCGCTCATGTAACCTACACATTAACTGTCTGGTGAATGCTTTTAACTAGACATAGGTATTAAAGAGCAATTTTGTCATAAGCTCAAGGAAAAACGAAACCAGAGGTATAATAATAGCTTAATTGTTTATTGTTAACCATCAGCATGAATTGGTTATAACCTGCCAGCACCACATCATAACACACCGCTGAGGTGCTTTTCGTCTTGTATGTACACACGTGGCACATGCTCCCACCTGGGCAAAGCTGTGTGATTCCCCTCGCCTCGGGCCCTCTGCCTCCTCCTTCAACTTCCCTCCCTCCTCCCCGAAGGCACAGGCAGCCAAGCGGTACAGGCACAGCCTGGCCCTCCGCCAGCGCCACAGCCTGCTGAAGCTGTGGCAGAAGATCAGCGGGGGCCAGACGGGCAGCGAGCGCTTACACCACACCTTCTGCACCTACTCCTGGTCGTGGAACGCCCACCGCGAACTGGTGACAACCGCTGATCTCCGCAGGCTGGACCGCCAGCTCAGCCGCCGCCGGCGGCCCGTGAGGGAGGGAACAGCGATGGACACCAGGCGAAGGCCGAGCCCGGACGCCACCGGAGGCCGGTGAAGGCTGGACAACGGTGGCTTGGGCTGGGCCTGCTCTCCCCCCGCTGTATGAAATGAGAAATAAAAGCCAGGAAAAGCGTTTTTGCCGCCGTGGTGGCCGTTTCCCGCCCAAAGGAGGACGCCGCTCGTTACGGCCGTTCCTCTGAGGTAACGGACACCCCTTCCCGCTCCCGCCGCGCGCTTCCCGCCTCCGCCCCCTCCACGTGACAACGGCGTCCCTCACGTGACCGCCACCGCCCGCCTAGTCCTCTTTCGGGTCGGACGCCGAGACCGTCTTTCCGGTTCCGGCGGCGCTCGGCCCATCATGGCGGCGCCCAGAGAGGCGCCGGAGCGGCGGCTCTTCGGGAGGCGCTTCCTCACCGACCCCGCCCGCCTCTTCCAGCACAACGCCTGGTGAGGGCGGCCGCCGCCTCCTCCTCGCCCCGTCTGTGCCCGCTCCGGATCCCCGGCCCTTTGCTGCCCGCTGCGGAGAGGCCTGGGGGGGCGGCTGGGGCGCTGCTGCCCTGCGGTGCCTCTCCGCGCCCGGCCGCGGGGGCTTGGGGGAGTGGGGGGGGAATTAGCCGGGAATGGGCTCGTCCTCGCCGCCCCGGTCGTCTGTGGCCAGGTGCTGGATAACGGGGCTCTCGGCGGCCGGGGCGGGTCAGCCCCGAGCTGCCCCGCTCCGCTTCACGGGGGCCCGGCCGCAGACATCGTTCGCGCTCCACTCCCAGCGCGCTGGACCGGCGCCCGGGCTGGCCTCTGAAGCGCCCACCGGGGCGCGGAGCGGGGCCGAGGGAGCTGTGGGTCCCGAGCTGAAGGCCCGACAGCGAGGGGGGCCTGGGGCGGAGGCCCGGCACCCCCGGGGCTGGGACGCTGCCAGGGTGGCAGGCGGTGGCGGGAGGGCTTAGAGGGGCGGGAGGACCCTGCCTTCTTCGGCCGGTGCGACGGGGTGCTGATCCCCGAGGGGTCCTGAGCCTTCCTCGGCTCCTCCCGAAGCAGTTGGGATTCCTCTGGCTCCCTTGATGTTTCAGGAGGATGCGTTGTTTTGCTTTGTAGCAATTGTTTCATTGCTGTAGTTAATAAAGTTAAATTATCCGCTCTCAGAAATCTATAACCCTTCTCCATCTGTATACATTAGTATCTAATGTATAAATTGAACAAAGATCATTTCACCCATCTGCTGCCGCAAGATGCTGTAACAGTGTGAGGTCGTGCTAGGTGTTAGCTTGGAACAGGAGGTCTTTGGTTGGAGAAAGCTGTTGTTTTAAGATATGTTTAGCACCCAAGTTCTCAAATTTGCTGGGAACTGAAGGTATTTTGCATTTTTAAAGTAAATATGTCCACTTCTGGTCTCTGGCTGCTATACCCTGTTAAGAATTGGGTATGTTTAATTTGTAATAAAGTAATACATGCATGCATCAGCTTGTCATTCATTTTGGGATTATACTAACCAAAGGTATGTTACAAAAGCACATCCTCAACAGTATTTTCCTGCAGAAACTCCTAGTAATCTAGTTTTTCACACACTTGACATTTAAGTCTTTGTTTTGTGAGTTAATGTCAAAAGACTAATTCCTCCTGAGGCCAGAATAGTGCTTCTTGGTCCTTGTATTCTGCTTTTCATTCACTTGTTTTAATGAAAAAAGGTCAAGTGAATCACTTTAATGACTACACAACTGTGTATGCACATTTAAGTTATTAATACTTATTAATGCTTTAAAGCTTCCTGCATATTTTTCTCACAATTGGATTTAATATTAATGTAACACTTCACCTTCCAAATAATGCTACTGCCTTTTTTGTTTTAACTTGGGAAGGAAAGTGTAGTTTTCTAAGACAGATACATCAGATGTTGATGACGTGCTTGAGTGAAAGCATGCAAGTGTCTACCTGTCTGTCACCTGTGCAGGAACAAATGCTTTTCACTGCATGAAAAGGAATTGCAGTTCCTCTCCAATGAGGCCTGTTTGTGCTGAGTGCCCTCGTGGTTTTGTTGAAAGGATTTATTTCCTCTAAACTTGGCTGAGCATCAAATAGGGAAAAGGATTAGGGGACAGATTTGGTGTCTCTTGGGATCCATTCCAGTTACATCTTTTGTAGTGCTACGAGTGCAGTTCATTCAGAACCAGGAACTGTATGTGCTTACAGCTGTTGTACTGCTGCTGAGCTAGAGTTAGAGATTGTGGAAAAGCTCCACATCTATCTGTTTGGAGGGCTATCTAGACCTTTCTCTTTTCTCTCTGTCTTTGCCTTACCATTCTCAGCTGAGTAGTTCATCTTATTTTTCACAACAGGGATAATGTGGAATGGTCAGAAGAGCAGGAAGCCAGTGCCAGGAGTAAAGTTCAAGAGAACAGCTCACAGCTATTGCCACAAGATAAACAAGGTACTTTTGGATAGTCTTCTAATGCTAAGTCTTGACTTGTGCATACTAGAGTGGAACAGTCTGGCCAGAGCTACATGTGCATCATCATCTATTCCTCCCTTCCCCCCTCTCCCGAATCATTCAAAATACATTACCTAGTTGTTGATAATGAAAAATGGAGGAGGAGGAATCTTTCTGCTCTTAATTTACCTCTCTGACTTTTCCACCTTCTCCAGTGACTCATCCTACTGCAACAGAAATGGTCTTGGTTGGGAGGAGTCATCTTGGGTTGAGCTTCTTTGTTCATGTTGTGTATGTTTAAATACTTGTTAGTGTTCCTTGTCAACAAACTTCTTTCAGTCTAGAACAACAGCCTTATTTAGTCTTATTTTCTCTGCTTGCTTTTGCTCTCTAAAGCTTAACTTCTAACAGGCAATCTTCTGTTTGCTTGCATGCTGTGGAGCTATCCCTAATGCAAGCTTGGTTTTTCTCTTAAGACGGTCTAATAAAGTAGTGTCCATATTCATCTCTACCAGGTTAACAAACAGCATGATAATGATTAAATCAGAAGTGAAGAAAAATTATTTTATCCCGATTGAAGAGTTATCATCAGAGAGGCAGAAAAGGGATTCCAAAGTTCTTATTTCCTCAGACTTGGCTTAAAGGAAATTTATACATCCAAAATGCAAAGCTTACCTGAATCTGAATCAAACTAAAGGTGCACAGCTGTATAGTCAAGTAATATGGTTGAAGCTGTTCTGAGTTGGTTAATAATGCGTCTTTCCTCCAGACCTGTTAGATATCCAGTCCCTTAAAAGATGGTGAAATGGCTTCCTGTTCTTTTGTATGATAAGAGACTTGTTTGATGATGATCTTGTTATACCCTGCCGAGCTCTAGGATGGATCTGCTCCTTTTGTTCAAATTAAATTGACTGTGTCATCTGTAAGGCGATGCTGAACACTACTGGAGCTATTGAGACACTTCCCATATAGCTTCCAGTTGTGTTCACAATAGCAAATTTAATTATACCAAAGAGCAACCCTCCTAATTTCTTGGATTCCCAGAAGTATCCAGCAGTTTCTATTGTGATGCCCATTGTGTCGAGTTCATTTTAAAATCTGGTTAACATTAAAGGATGCTGTCTGTCATGCTTTGAGAACCTATATACAACTATGAAATTGTGGAACAATTTGCTGTTAGAGCAGTTTGTCAGGTCTTCATGATGTATTTCCCAGACTGAACAATGGAGGCCAGTCAAATTCTGATGGTTGCTATTCAGTGGGAAGCGTGTGGAGACAATGGGATGGCTGAAATGTAGGGAAGCTAGCCCAGCCAAATGTGCCTGAAGGGTCTAGTATTTTGAGAATCAGTAATGTCCAAGCAGGGGAACAAAGGCAGGCTATTGGTCATTATGGCTGTATTATTCTGTGGACTTCTTGGGGCTGTCAGAATTTGTTCTGAAGAAGGAGAGAAGTTCTATGGGGTATGTCGAAGGTGTGTCTCCTGGCTGGGAACAAAGAAAGAAGTGGAAGAGTTTTTTGGTTTCCTTTTGAGGCTCCATAATTAGCCCCCATGCAATTCGGGGGGTCCCTGGTTCTCTTCCTGTTTTTTGTGAACAGTTAACTTTTGTTTGCCTTTCTTCTGCAATGTGAAAGGGTGAGTATGGGCTTGGCTTTGGGGGTGTCCTTACAAAGACGAGCAGAAAAGTCAGGAGTCCTTATCAAGAGAGTCTCTGGAGAAATCTGGCTTGCACGCTGATGTCCCTGTGAGCTAATACCACAAAAAGGATCTTGAAGCAAATATTATATGAACTTTACTGGCATAAGTTGTGCAGGAAGTCAGACTGAAAAGCTAATGTGGTCTTTTTTTTCTTTAAATCTGTTTCTTGCATGATCTTTATCAGCCGGCCCTTGATTTCTTGCATTTATATTGTTACTGATCCTTTATTCCAGTGCTTTGAAAACACTAGGCTATGAGGTAAATGAGCTTTAAATAAAGCTTCCACACATGTGGGTTGGAGTATAACAGCTGTTCAATAGCATCCAACAGAATTTCACAGTAATTTAACACATGAAGAGCACAATGTCTTGTTCAGTGTTATACTGTGGCAAAAACGTGGGTAATCCAAAATGGCTGGGCTGGAATTTTGCCCCAGCACCTCAGGTAAGCATCCCATTACAGTCAGGCTGTCATGGGATGGTTAGGGACCAGCAGGAATCAGGACTTTGTATTTCTGTGAGGTCAAAGAGCATTTCCAGCCCCAGCAGCCTTGCATATCCCTACTAGTACATGGAAGAAGTGACAATTCAGGAAGGAGTGTGCCAGGGTATGAATCAATAATGCTTCTTCCTCTGACATTAGCAGTCATTGAGTTCTCCTGCACAAAAAGTAAACTAACTACTTTGAGCTACGGTGAGATCATGGCACAAACTTACTGCTCTAGGCTAATATCAGACATTAAAATTTCCTTCAGCTTGGGGTTTAAGGACAAGGCTTCTTAAAAGGACAAAAACCTTGTAGCTGAGGTAAAGAGATTATTTTTATATATAGCTATTTGTCCTTCAGGGATAGATCCTACTAAAAATATACATACGACTGACTTCTGGTTCTTTGTTAAAGCCATTTTTCTCTATATTTGGCTGAAGATACATATTTTTCCAGGTGTTCTTGGTTTATTGTACTCTCTCCCTTCAGATATCTTCTAAACACTTGTATGCTTTTCAGAAAGACTAATAAATAAACTGCAGTTGAGATAATAATACTAATCTCCAATTTTAAGATGCCTGTTTTTTCTCTTAACCCTACTCTTAGTAGATGTTGGAGAGAGGTTATCCATTCTTACATGCAGTCGTCATCTTTAATTGTGGGAGAATCATTTGCATTCAGTAATGCACTTGTTGCTGTGCAAAGATGGCTAAGGCGTTGCATGTTATTGAAATGCAGTCAGGATCTCTGGCCATGGATGTTAATGCATCTAGGTTATTACAAGCATAGGATGCTATAATTGGCTCTTATTTCCCAGGACAGAGAACTCATCACATTGATGAGAATTCAGAAGCCAGTTCCCATGGAAAAAATAGTTCCTCTAGTACTGTACTTGATCTGAAATCTGTGAAGGTGTGTGGAAAGAATTCTGTGAGTGACTTGAATTTCATTAGATCACAGCTTTTTAAGAGTTCTTCCAGCCTTCTGTAATACTCATCTTGCTACTGGAATGTATCCACTTGGTGTGAAAATGATAACGCTTGCAGCTAAAGTTAATTCTTACCATCTTTAGTCTTTCCACCTTAGCTCTCCACTGTTACTTTAATGACAGCGGTCATTTCTGTTGATTCCCCTCTTTTGTTTTAATTTCAGAAATGTGTGATGCTGTAACATGCACAGAACTATGGAAAACAAAGTGCTGTAGGCTGGACTCTAGCACTATTTGTGTAAAACATGCTGTCCTGTAATCTTGGAGTATTGCGCAAATGCTGATTGAGCTTTCTGCCAGGCCTGTATAGCTGACTAATTTTTCTGTTTCTCCATCTGAAAAAAGGGGTAGTGTGTTGGACAGGAGCTCTTCAGCTCCAGGCAGCTGTCATAGAATTCCTTAGAAGTTGTAAGTGCTTGACTGAGTGTCATGAGGCTCCAAATGAATCGTTCCAGTGAATTGAACAAGTTAGTGTTAGAGATGGAAGTAAAACCTGGATTTCTTCATTCCAGTCTCCTTCAAAGAGGCCTTTTCTGTTGCCAGCTTCCTTTAAATCCTACCAGGAGACAGACAGTTTCCTCTTCTATGTCTTTTCCCTTTTTTAGTCCTACCAAAGTGACTGTGAGGAGGCAGGCTGAGTGTTTATGTGGGATGCCACAATGTAAATAGAGGTGATTTTCAATCAATAACCTTACTTTTTAAAGCAGATTGCTGAATAGATGTCTGCAGTGATCCCTCACTGTCTGAACTGATTAAACTCTGAGACCTTCTGATTTGACTGCTGGTGATGTTTTTGTTTGTGTTCACAGAGGAATATGAGGTGAATGCTAAGAGGTACTGGGATGAGTTTTACAAAATCCACGAAAATGGCTTCTTCAAGGACAGGCACTGGCTGTTCACTGAATTTCCTGAGCTGGCACCTAACAGGAACCCCAGTCAAAACGGCGATTCTATGCATGAATTTAGTAACAAAGATGACTCCAACAATGAAGGGCTGGGAAGCTGTGAAAATGGACATTGTTCATTGGAAACCAGGGCAGAGAATCAATTAAACCTGATAAAAAACACATCTAAGAGCTCTACAGAGGAGCTGGCTACACAGAAGTACAGTGAGCTGAATCAAAGTGATGGAGATTACCCAGGATCATCTGCATCTTACCGTATATTAGAGGTAATAGTTGTAAAACATAGTCACACATCAGACAGTCCCTTGTATCAGTGTTAGGGTGACTGGGACATAAAAATATATATCATTGCCAAACAGCAAGTGAATGGGATGATTGCTTTAAGTCAGTAAAATGAAAAAAACAGAGAGCGGCTTAGAACTGATTTAAATCTGTTGGGATTCTTTTGGTTCAGACTCTGAATTGGCAGAGCACAAGGACCATAAGAAGTTTCCAAGTTTAAAAGACAAACTGTTACTATCAGATGTTGAAACAAGCATTTAAAAGTCATCTTTTGAAGAAGCTGATTCTTTTACTTGTCTGTATAAAGCTTTCCCTTGTCATTTATGTTTTGCATGTTTGTGCTGATTCTTCCTTGCCTTGGGAGGTGTGAAACAAAACAACGAAAGCAAGAATGTAAAGATGCTGTTTGGTTTGTTCCTTATGGCCCATGTAATAATGGGGAATCTAAGACTGATAACATGGTTTGTCCCAGAAAAGTCTGTAGGACTTCTAAATAAGAAACTCCTGATAGCTGATAATGACCTTTTGCTCTGCCACCTCTAGTTTGTTCGCTGTAGATATCACTGTTTTTGTTGAATGCTTCATGTTCTATGGAAGTTCCGCCCTTCCAGGGAGAGTTAATATGACCTGTCTTTTTGATTTTTTTATTTAATCTGAGGCTTTGAGACTTCCACAGACTTTGACGTTCTTGGTTCATTGTGGTTTTCCTGTCTCACCTGAGTACTTTCAGCAATATCTGTCACTGCAAGCCATCAGTGGTGTTTTCTGCTCCGTCTGTTTCAATTTTACTGATTCCTTAAACATTTAGAGGCAAATTCCCCAAACCCAGTTGTGTGAGCCATCTTCAAATGGGAACAAGTAGAAGGAATAATAAGGCAGAATCATTGTAGGCCTAGTTGTAACTTGAGGAAGAGCCATCTAGTGAAGGAAACTCTGAAACAGCAGGGTGTAATTACAGTAAAGCAAACTTCCTTCTCCATTGCTCTGATTTTCAATGGAAGTGAATGCAACTAATCCGTGGCCTTTGCCAATGCTTCAGTGACTCATAGTGGTTGTTATGCTTGGGATTCCAGCAATAACAGTTTTCAAGAGAGTAACAATATATAGCTTGTTAGTAAGACTTCTACGAGAACTGGCTTAGTGGTTTCCCACAAATGCTTATATGTAAGCCTACTCCTCAGAGCTCAACGTATTCAGATCTCGCAGTGAGATTTGCAAATGGTCACTGCTACACTCAGTTGTTACTCATGAGCTGCTCTTTGTTCCATGGCTGTAGAGAGATGATTTGAAATTAGCTGCATAGGACATGCTGAAGAAATTATTTTAACTATGTGTACATCTACTTTGTGCAGGTTGGCTGTGGTGCTGGAAATACAGTCTTCCCAATTTTACAAACCAACAAGTAAGTAGTTCTCAGTAGGTTTTTACCTGCATGATATACCAACCTCTGAAAAACAATTGGAAACGTGTTGCACTTGTTCTTAGTTTAGACAATCTTAGAGAAAGGCCAGGTGCAAATGGTGCCTTTGCCTTCTGCAACTTCAAATGATTGTGATTAGAGCTAGGAATCTTTGGTCTTAGAATGCAACCAGTGAAACATGATGTGAGTTTACATGTCTCATTCTGAAAGCATTTTCATACAGGCCTTAGTGTCTCTCCTTTTCCAGAAGGAAAAGTAAGCAGTCAGCTCCATATGAGAATAGCTGAGGCATAAAGGAGCAACGTAGTCCACCAGATTTTGCACAAGGCATTATTGACAGAGATAGACTAAAGCCCAGGATTTCTGGCTCCCAATTCTGTGCTTTGTGCATTTGAGACACTTCTTAATTCCTGTGGAGCACCTTTATATAAATGATGATAGTTTCTTTTATTTATTTCAGTGACCCAGGCCTTTTTGTTTACTGCTGTGATTTTTCTACAACAGCTGTGGATCTTGTCCAGGTAAACTCAATGGTGACTTATGAAGGTAGAAAGTACATGGTGCCAATTGCACATTAACACAAATGTATCACAGCTGCCACTGGCTGTCTAGCAGTGTTTTCAGCTTTCTTTTTTTAGCTAGCGCTGATGCTGACCCTTGTACTGGTAAATCATGACAATGAGCCATCAAAGATTGTAGAAATGAGGGAACTTGGAGTTCTCAAAATGTCACATTGGCAGCAGACAAGTCAGCCAGATTTTCTTTCCCCTGTGGTTGTCAGTACTTTTCTAAATCCAGTGCTCTTTTAGCTGAGTAACTGCTGAACCTTGAAACATTCAGGCTATTTTCTAACAGGAACTGAAGCTGGTTTTGGTTTGTGTGTGCGTTACTGTCACTGCAGTTCTGGGAACGTGCTCTGATTGCTTCTGCACAGACAGCTGAGGAGGGATACTGTTGTCTGTGGAGCAGGAGGCTGGCATTTAGTGAAAGGACAAATACTGCTAACAAATTTCAGGTCAGAACAGAACTGAGAATATATGAAATATCAAATGTAATCAGTCACTTCATGAGATGAGATGGGGAGCACAGCAGCAGAGGCAGCATGCCATTTCATCCTCTTAAGGTGACACAAGCACTGTTCATAGAGGCTACTGCAATCCATAGCAGCAGCTTTAGAAAAACATGCAACTTCCTTTAGAAGTCTAAATGTGATTTTTAAGAGCATGACTTTAGGCAGCCAGATTTGATTTTGGGGGTATAGGGAGTAGTCTGCTTGGAGTTGAATACTTATTTCAGTGATGTAGAGCAGGGCCCTGATGCTCTCACTTTTGTAAAGATTTCCAGCTTAACAGTGTAAATCCCTCACTTTTTACCACTACTAGTGGAAAATCTGACCTTAAAATTGCAGTAATCCCTCAATCCAATTTTGGGGTTTTGGCAGTGCTGATTGAATGTAACAAGTCCAAAGCTCTTTGTAAATCTCCCATGTGTAGTTATTTTTCACATTTCACCCCTGTTCCTTGTCTGACCAAGGAATCTATCTGACCCCATCTGTCTTAGTCCAGTGAGGCTGAACCAGATCTCTGGACACACCACTTTATTATGTGGAAGTTAAAATGCTCCCATGTTCAGATAATACTGAGATCAGGGTCTGCTCCTAATGCTCTATTTCCTCTCCCCTTAAATACAGAACAATGCAGAATATGATTCTTCTCGCTGCTTTGCTTTTGTCCATGACCTGTGCAATGACCAAAGTCCTTTCCCAATGCCAGACAAGAGTCTTGACGTTGTTATTCTTATCTTTGTCCTCTCAGCGATTCTCCCAGAGAAGTAAGTTTTAATAATTCCTTCTGGTTGCAGAAGATAATGCATATAGAGCTGGAGTTCTTTAATAGTAGGTCCCCTCATATCAAGGAAATTAGAGTTCATTCTGTGTCTGGTCCAGTTTTCCATTACGCCTCTGAAAAGGAAATTCGCAGGTACTTTCTGTTGTAACAAATTCTGGCATAGGATAGGTTTGATTTTGAAGTGCTAAGTGGCTATAGATGACATCTTGCTGCAGTCACAGTTGCTCACCTGTTCTGAACCCCAGCCACACTGAGCACTCAGCACCCATTTGTGGAAAGTATGCTGCTAGATTTTAAGGCTCAAAGGCTGGACGAATTTCTCATATGGGAGGTGGCAAGAAGGGAGGGGCCAGGTTCAGAAAACAGTTAAGAAAAGTGCTGTGATCTTAGTGTGACAGTGTATTACAACCTACACTAGTCTCTCTTTTTTGTTCCCTTTGGTTTTATTTCACAGCATTTTTCTTCAAGTTCACTTACTGTTTTACAGAAACCAGTGGAAATACTTCTGTAATTAGTAAGAGAGAGCAGTTAATCCCTGCTGCGGCAGGCTAAGTTATCATTGTAGGAAAAAAAGCAGAATCAGGGAGTGTCAGAAATAAGGCGGCCAAATAAAATCAACCCACCTAAGTCTGAGAGAGCTCAGAAAAGTGCTAGCTTTTGGTAGCTCTTTATATGAAGTTGAAACTTTAGTAAAACTTTATACCTTTTTTTGGAAAGTAGGCTAAGGAAACAAGGATCATTTTGCAGAATGTTGAATACTGCTGTTTTGTTCTTTCCTCAGGATGCAATGCATCGTTAATAGACTGAGTCGCCTTCTGAAACCAGGAGGAATGATTTTGTTACGAGATTATGGCCGTTACGATCTGGCCCAGCTTCGGTTTAAGAAAGGTATTTTCTTTTCCCCTGAGGAGTCTTGCCAGATCACTAATAGACGATGCTTCTTTGGAGTTTAGGAGGCAGCTCATTAATTCCCCTTAAGCACAGCATGTGCTGGGAGAAGTGCCTCTTGTTGGATGGCAGTTGTTGATTTTTAAAGGATAGCTGGTAACTGTTTAAATCCCTCTTTCCCTTAGGTCAATGTCTGTCTGATAATTTCTATGTGAGAGGTGATGGCACCAGAGTCTACTTCTTCACACAAGGTAGGAGGCTAGAAAACATCCCTCTGACTCTCTTCACCTCTTTTTGTCCCTGTGCCCTCAGGTTTTGCCACTAGATCTTTCCAGCCTGTCTTTCTTGGAGCAGTGTGAAATGTTAAGAGTTTCCCAATTGCACAGGGATCTGGGCTTGTCACTTGCTGATGCAAATATGGTGTGGTGAATTCCTTAGTGGAAAATCCTTTTAGAGAAAGACTAGTGTGTTTGCTGCACTGGTAGGGCTGGGATTGGAGGACCTCTCCTTGAACCTTGTTGCCTGCGGAGGATGGAGTGAGATGGACAGCACTTGAAGAACTTCTGTTAACTTTACTGTTCTCCTACGATGATATAAGAAGGGCGTGGTTCAGCATAGAGCTGAGGCAGCCTCTCCAGTTCTGCTGCTGCTTGGCGTTCAGCAGGGGTTGTATTCTCCCTGCCTATCACCAATTATACCTCCAGTCCTTTGCACCACAGGCCCCCCTGCATGGTCAATCTTAGAGCAGTAGCACAACTGCAACGAATTATTCCCTTCCCCACCGCACAGGTCTTGTTTGTCACAACAAAATTAATGTTTAATGCGTGTTTGGCAAACGCTTCACTATGGCAAGCATCTGATAAAATGCACAAGCTGGGACCTGTTAGCCCTTTTCTACAGAAACTCCATACAAATCACGTGCTCCCAGGCTGCAGTTGAACAAGCTCTCTGCTGCTCAGCTGGGCTCGGTCTGGCTTGCCCACGGCCAGTGTGCTGGGGCACTATGATACTTATTTGCTTGGTCAGGAATACCTGCCAGTGTAAGTGTTGCAGCCTCGAGGGCTCTTAGTGCTTTGATTGGGCCCCAACAGGGTGTGGTTTTTTAAGGATTTTTTTCCCAAACTTAACCTTAATGAATCCTGTTCCCCTCCAGCCTATAGCACAGATCTTACTGCCACCATTTAAAAGCGTAGGTCTGATCCCGTTCTTTGCTCTTGCAGAATCTGAAATTCCTCTGGAGAGAGGGGGGAGGGGGAAGGAATGGATCTGTCCCTACTTGCCAGAAGATGCTCCCTTTATCAGTTACTAGAGGCGGTACCCATGCCTGAAACTGCTGCTGTTTTCTTTTTGTCAAGACTCTGTAATTCTAGGTGTACTCCAAATAATTCTTTCCTTCCTTGGTAGAAGGTAAATTCAAGGGAAGCTAGAGAAACTGTGACCTTAATCCCCCCATAGTACAGTAGTTAAGTCCTGTCCTGTCTGATCTTTACATTTCCCTGCCAGAGAGAGACTGAGTTTCCTCTGGCCCATCTCTCAACATAGTTGAGCCCTCAGTGTGAGCAGGTATCAGTTAAATGGAAGCTATGGCATCCTCAATCTCCTTTTCTCTGCTTCCAGATGAATTAGATGATCTCTTCACAACAGCTGGGCTGGAGAAAATCCAGAATCTGGTTGATCGGCGATTGCAAGTGAACCGTGGGAAACAAATGACGATGTATCGAGTATGGATCCAGTGCAAATACCGCAAGCCTGCCACCCCTCAGCTGTGAGGAAGCGGGGCATGCTTTTTGGGGTTGAGCCTTTTCATGGCCATGTGCAGTGTCTCCTGGTGAAGTGTGGTTTTACGGAGTTCAGCGCACACAGGACCTCAGTGCCTTTTACAGTGCCTAACATCACTTCAAGTGAGTTTTGCTAAGGACGAATGCTCTAAGAGGAGACCAAGCAGTATTTTAGATGTCTTGCTACTGGTCTGAGTTTTTTAAATTATTTGTGGTTTTAACAACTTAAGAAACGGTCATGCTGGCTTACAGCAGCTGAGCAAGTTGAATAGTGAGTTACTCTTACTCTGGATTTCCACATGAAACAGGAGTGCTTTGACCTTGCCTCTGTGTTGTGTACGCTTGTCTTGGGAACAAAAACCATACAAAGGGTAAATCTGCTGTTCTCTGCAACTGTTCACTAGGCCTAATATGAATCCCTTAGCCAGCTTATCTCATCCAGCTCTCTTCCAGTCGTTCAGGTTTGTGCAAATCCACAAGTTAAAATACATTGATAGAGGGCAGGAACTGAGAGCATGCTAGTTTCTCTGTGCCAGCTTCCCCATGCATGCTTCATGGTGTGCAGATAACCTGTGGAGAAAGAAGATTATGCTGCCTTGCCCTCACTGTCCACAAGGATGTTCATCTAGGGAGCTAGCACGCTATGGCTCAGGTGCTGTAAATTCCTATCAGGTGGGGTTCAGGTTTTCAAAGATTTGGGGCTGATGCCAGTTTTGGGGCACCTCCAGAGTGCAGAGTATCACAAGCAGCTCACAGGACCAGGTTTTATGCAGAATCACCTGCTTTTTCTGCTTGAACAGTAAGAAACTCTTCTTGCTGGCTGCAGCCGCCAGGTCACGAACTGCAGTGCCCTGTCATGGTGGTGTGCTAAACCCAAGTAGACAAGACACCTGTCTTTGATAAGAAATCTGAATAATGTCTACCACTCTTGTTTAATTTCTTAGATGAAGCCAACATTGTGGCTTTCTGAAGGTATTTCCCCACCTTTGACAGCAAATATCTTTTATCTCAGCTTGTTTTCTTATGTTATTTTTAGGGTGTGGTACAACACGTATTAGAATAAATTTTGTGGTAATGCTTTTCAATGCTGGTTTGATTAATATAAATTAGGCTTCCACAGAAACTCACATGCTTCTGCATGCCTGATCTGAAGGACTTGGGCCACCATTAGGTAACTACAGTTTTTTGCCTCTTCTGTTATCATGAGTCTCACTAGTGCCTGCTCTCGTCTGTCAAGAAGGGAAAGCCTTGGCTGATATCTCCTGCCTTGTTTTAGTTCATGAAGCAACAAGGTCTATTGTGTGTGCACCGCTGGCTGAAGAGCAGTTCATGCTACACGAAGCATGTATATTTTGTTAGCTAGACACTTGTAGCTTACAGTCGCCTAAGAATAACTGTCAACTATAGAGACACGTAGGTTATGAAATAACTGCTGTCTTGAAACAGAGGAGAAAGGGTAAAAAGATGAGGAAATGTCATTGCTATCTTTGGAGAGTCTGCAGGAGTCCTGGAGAGTCAAACAGGAGCGCCCTGATTTGTAAAGCGTTGGAAGGGGCTGTAGCAATACTCTCTGCTGGGCATGTGGCAGCATGATCAGTTCATAACTTCCACATCACTGTGTCACCCTGCAGGTATTAGTATGTCTGCTACCCAAAGGCTTCTGGGTGAGGGCATTTCAGCCATTCCTGTGAACAGTGACCCAGCAAATCCATTCACACCACAAAGGCAGGCTGCAGTGCTGGGGCAGGAATGGAAATGCACCATTGCTTTTTTTTATATATCTAGCTCTTTTAAATAATGTTGAAAGGGAATCAAATAACTGGGAAAATAATTCTTGTTCAATTTGTTGTACTGTATTTTCTAAAGGGCTAAGAGAATTCCTAGCATTTGCAAATGAAATAGGAGGAGATAAGGCTTCTTTATTTCTAAGCACATTTGGCTTCTGCCACGCACAAGCCTGACCCAACCCAGAAGTTGTGCAGCTGCTGCTACGTTTTCGTGCTAAACCTACAAAGTTCCCTGGCAAGGTTGGTTCCTCAGGAAAGGCCTAGGCAAAATACATCTCAAGGCCTCTGGGAGCTGAGCAAGCTCATGTCTCCTCATCTTTATCCAGGCAAAGAGTCAGCTTAGCAAAAAAAGTCCTGTGAGTGTTGAATGTGATGTGACTCATGTAACCAGCTCTGTCGCTTTCAGTGAAAGACCTCCCATGTGTTACTGGTGCCTTAGGCAGTTCCCTGGGGTCCTTTCCCTCTTGGTCCCTGGAGGGAGACCTCCTCCTGGGATAGCTTTATCTCCCTGGAAGAAAAATTATTGACTGGGGTAAACAAGCAGCATAATTAGTGTGAATTAAAGTAATTTGAAAAATGCCGTATTAATCATCCAAAGGCTTGTAAGCAGTGCAGGAGAATATGTTTTTAATTATAAACATGATTTATTTAAACTTGATGGACTCCCCTTTAAATTTAAACTCCTGAATGGGAGAAGATGAAGGCTAGTAATTTATTTGTTTCTACTTTCAAGGCTACATCCCAGTTGCCTGCCTGGTTTTGACTTGGGCTTCATGCAAAAACTTGCAGCCCCATGAGCCTGCAGCCATTGAAGTGGCTCTATGCCTTTCTTAATGCTCTTCATTCTGCAGGGGTATTTAAGCAATCACTCAACATGAACCATGCTGGGCAGACATGCTTTTGTTTCCAGTCCTGTTGGTGGTGTTCAGAAAGCAACAAGTTAATGGCCTTGAATTGAGCCAGGCCTCCTACAGACAGATACTGTCTGAGCTTCCTTCATTAATCTCCGCCAGCTCCCATTCTCTCTGAAGCTACTGCTCTCCTGCGACTCCAGGCCTTGCCTCCCACACAGCTCTGCTCAGGTACCTTGGTCCTGACTTGCAGCCGCTTCTGCCATTCCCACCTTGGGCCTGCTGAGCAGGCTGGGTTGCACAATGGCTTTCTAGCATGTTCAAAGGAAATCTCCAAATTGACTTTTACTATACTGAAAAGCCAGGTTAAGTGCCTTTTTTTTTTTTCCCCTCTTCCTTTTTAGCAGTGTAACATTAGCTTTAAAGCCATTCTGAACATATCTGCTCTGGTTTTGTTCCCAGCATTCCAGTCTTGCGGTCTGTGGCTTACAGACAATGCCAACGTAGCTTGTTGAACCTCCCAAGCAGAAGAGATGATTTCATAGCTCTTCAGAGGCACTGCCCCTGCGATTCTGGAGCCAGACATTGTTACACTTCGGAAAGTCTGGTCCTGGCTCTTGCCAGAGGGTGGTGGATTTCCTTGGAGGTTCGTAGATTGTTGTGGCTGGAAGGGAACTTTATCACCAACTGTTCTGACCCTTTGCATAGCCCTTTCGTGTAGGGATTATGGCATCAAGCCTGTGACTTGGGCTGAGCCAGAACTAGTCCTTCAGAAAGGCTTTCGATCCAGCCATGATGCTGAGGGCTCCAGTGAATGGCAGAAAACCCTTTGCCTCCCCAGGTACATTGTTCCTCTCACAGTATCCTGATTTCACGAATCGGCTAGAAACTGGGAGGCAGGAAGGGAACAGGGGAGGAAAAGACCACAAGAGGCTGGGGAGTATTTCTGATACTGTCACTTCAAAAACAAGTAAATTGTAAATTCCACTGAAAATTGGACCTTTCTCAGGATCTTCCTGACATCACAGAAAAGTGGGAAACGGCAGTCATCCGTAGTGATTTTTATTGTTACAACAGTAATCATCAAATGCTTCTGACCAGAAGCATGTGAGACCAGACACAATTGTCTTCTCTCCCAAATGCTTTAGCTCCACCTTCTCAGGGTATGTCACCACCATTTCTAATTCTGTAGTTAGTTGTAGAGCTCCAGGATAAATGAAACGTGATTATTTTCAATAAAACAGGTGTGAGCAGAAGGAACCTCCATGTCTGCATGCCAGTGGCTTTTGGCATTGCATTGTAACTAAAGCTGAAAGAGCTTCCTTTTGTCGTTGGCACTGGGATGAGCCCCGGCTGGTCCCCAGCTGGATTCCCTGCAGAAATTGCAGGCCTAGACTGAACTTAACTGTTTTTCCCGAGCACAAATGAAAGATGCACAGGTTTCAGAGCCTAGAAGTGAGGGTACGGATGAGGATGAGGCCACAGAGATCAAGTTATTAAGGGACTTGGGGACCATCCTTCCATCTCTGTAAAGACAGAGGGAAATTGAGTCATGCAGTCTTCTTTGTTCTCCTGATGAGTCAATTGGATCTGATTTGTCAATCAGAGCAGTGCCACCACTTTTGGTTTGGTGTCGTATTGGGGAAAGTTAGTCCAGAAGAGAAACGCATGATCAGGATCACTGTTGCTATTGTAGCTTGACAGGGGTGTGTGCTTGGCACACATCTTTTGCACAGTGTCCATAGGATTCTAACAGTGTTGTCATATATGTTTTCAGGGCAAGACAGAAATTACTAGAAAAGCAAGGAGGGAGGAATTTTTTGGAGGACTCTTCTGCAAAGCGAGATACTCTAGAGGGAAAGGAATTGTCAGCTCTGTGCTTAATCAGCAAAGCTCTGGAGTTTGTGCTTAGCTCTTGCTGAAGGCATTAAGTTCCTGTGCATAAGTGCCTTGCTGAATGGGATCTTGTATTGCCAAGAAAGTGGGACACAGCGCAGGAAATTACCTATGTAGGCAACAGTGAGTGCTAATGTGAACCAAATAGGATACAGCTACCTTCATTATGGAGACCAGGGAACTTGGCTGGAACACAGGCAGGGAGAAGTAAGAGAAGAGCCATGTGTGCCTCTGCTTTTACCTCCTGCCCAAAGGCTGTATGGTATGACAGGAGGTGTCATGCCAATGAAGGCTTTTACTCTTGAAAATATGGTCTTTGACCCACAGTTGGATGAGTGGGAACTGGCTGTGGTTGGAAAGCATTGATGGCAAAGATCGCTAGCAAGTCTAACGTGTCAAGACCTGCCTGGAACTCCCAGATGTTCGTCCATGGCTGTTTCCAGGAAGGAAGAACATCCTGGTGAGGTTTGGACCCTGCTGCTCTAAACTGTGCTCCCTGGTATTGAATAACCCCAAAGAGTCTTCACTGCAAGTGCCAACAGAGCGTGTGAACAGCAACTTGATTTTGGGGTGGAGTGTGAGTGTCACTGCTGTATTCAGGTTGTTTTAATGTTTTGTAGTCCAAAGGACCCTTGTAGCTCTTGCATTTTCATGTTATTTGGAGGTTGGGGAGTTCTGGGGGATTGCAGCCAATCCTTTGGCCTATGAAACTTTCTTTCCGCTGATGTGAAGTGAGAAGTTGCTGTTTGCAGTCCCAGGTCACAGAGGCCAGGCTCAGACCTCTGTGGCGTGTGTGGGGAACACTGGGGGATCTGCTCTACAGCTGGAAGTGGAGAGGTACCCTGCCACCCTTCTCCAGGGGCACTGGATGTGGCATTCCTCATTAAGAAAATTGGCTAATCTCCCCTCAGACTACTTCTTCATCCATGGAACCAAGCACGAGGCATGGTACTGGGTTCCCCTCATCTGGGGAGCACCGCATAGACAGGTACACTACGCTACAGTCTTTAATTACACAGCCGCACATTTTTTTCCACATTCAGTGCCAAGGGTGGATGTGAAGAGGTCGATCAAGGTTGCATGGAAAACTAAATCTGGCTTTTCCTCAACTTCAAGTGACTTCTTCCCTACTGAGATGAGCCTTGTTATGAAGGTTGGTATGTATTTACATTCACACAGAGGCTGAATATACTTACAGAAATATGCATGCAGTAACTCTAGCTTTACAATAGGATGTTGATTTAATTTTCCTCTTACACAAATCTCAGAGCAGTTTGTTTAATTGAGGCTTTCAAAAGCCCTGTAAGGTAGGGTGTTATTATGCCTGTTTTATGCAGGAGGAAGAGAAGCAGGGGGCAAATCCTGCCGAGAATAATACCCTCTTGTATTCTAGGAAGCTGGTAGTGAGGACAGGGAAGGACTTGCTGGCACATAAAGGAGAATCACATTGTTTCAGGTGTGTGCAGAAGAAAAAACAGTGGATTTTGCTAGTACCATGTGCTTTGAGGAACACGGACGTGATCACAGAGGTGTTCCTTTCCTACCTGCGAGTCTTCATTCCCCTCGGCCGGGCCATAGTGGTTGCGCAGGTCCGGGTGTGCGTGCACGGCGGGCTGCCTCCTCCGGCAGGCAGGACATGCACTCATGGATGAGGGCACTGAGGTTGTGTTTGGCTCGCTGCATGTGTGGAGGTTGAGGGACCTGGATGCTTTCCTACTGGGTTTGGGTATCAAAGCTTCCCTAATGGGATACCTGAAGGTGTAGACAGAGGGAGGGGCAGGAACAACCTCTGAGATAAACTCCATTGTGTGGGAGGGTGGAGGCTCTCTGAATGGCCTCAGGAAGGAGTCAGGTGATGGCATGTTATCTTTGAGTAGCTGAGATAGGAACTTTCTCCCCTCTAATGAAAATGAGGAAAGACCCTTTTAATGTTCCTAGTGAGGGAAAGGCTGTGCCGGGAGCCCTACCCTTACTAGACGCTCAAGAATCCACACAAGGGTGAGATGTTTTGAGTGCCCCAAGTCCAGAAAAATCTTCACTTGCAACTTGTGTGTCATTAGGTACGACAGAATCTGCTCTGCAGACGAGGGTTGGCCTCTTCTGGATGTGATGCCTAGAGGTGAGATCATCCCTCGGTGCTAAAACCTTAAGAAACCTGTAGAGTGCTGAACTCTTGTGGGTTGGTTTTGTTTTTTTCTCAATGGCTGTAAAATTTTTGGATTTGAGATCACTGATGCCAGCTTTTATGTTTTAAAGGCTCAGGCTATTTCATGCTTTTCTCAAGTCCCCAGCTCCCAGTGTCCTGCTATCACTGAGGAATCTCAGCTCTCTTTTTTGTGTATGTGTTATGTCAATACATTTCTAGACCTCATGGCAGTACAGAAATGCTGTGAAAAATGCAGTTAGAGTATTTCAAAAGGCAAAGGAAAGTCACCAAAATGCATTAAATAAAAAGAACAGGAGCTTGACTTCTGGTATTTTGTCTTTTCAGAATTTAGGACAGAAGGAACTTGTTACATGCTATGTTAAAATATCTATAAAATCTTACCAAATTTTGGTCAGATCATGGGTTAACAGTGAAGCTGTGATGCGAACGCAGGGGTTTGCCCTTTTTTTGCTAAGCATGCTGTGCTGGCTGGAGGGGAGCTCTCGGAGACTGCTCAAGTCAAATTCAGTGACAAAGAAAATGGCTGCGGCAGCTGAGTAGTTCTTCAAAACATGATAGAAGTGCAATGTGCCAAGGATATTGCTGACATCCAAGGAGACCAATGCAAGAAGATGAGAGCTGCCACGGGGGATGTAATAGGAAGCATTAACACTGGCTGATGGCAGACCTGAAGAGGAGGATGCTGTACGGGAGGAATCTGGCAGAGATGATGGTGTAGGAGGGCTGGCTTGCCCCCATGAATGAGATAATATTTGGTCAGCCGTATACGTACTGCGTTGCTCTTAACCATCCCGTCACCAGCTCTCAAACCAGCTCCTCTAAAAGGACCAGAGCTCAGGGGCTCTTACAAAGTTAATGGAAAAGGGGGAGAACAGAATAGTTTTCGAGTGTCGCTCAAGTGTGGGCTGGAAGGAGGAGTTTTCCTGCATGAGAATTCTTGGAGATCCAAATACTCTCTTCTCTCGCTGGGCCAGAAAGTCAAACATACTGAAACTGTTTACAAACTGAAGTACTATGGGGAAAATCAAGTTGAGATCGACAGAATTTTGGTTTCCTAACCTTAAGCATTGTTTTAGTTTTGATGCTTTATAGGCTTTTAGAAGTAGAATCTTAAAAGTTGACATGAGAATTTTTAATTGAATCCAAAATTTTCCTATACAAAATTATTAAATATTTACATATTCCAGCCACTTTGAATTAGAAAACCTTTCCCTGTAAAAACAGAAACTCACAAACTGACCTTTTCTTGTCAGAAGCACATTCCAATAAGTCGGCCTTTCTTATTTAGACAGCAGAAGTAAAAAGAAAAAACAACAGTCCACCATGTCTCTGCTGAGTCCAAACCCAGGGGATTAGCTCCCGTGAGAGATAACGCTATAAAAAAAGAGTCCAAGTATGCTGTGTCTTATCACTGATAAATATATTTTTACCTTAGAGACCATTGCTGTTCCTGAGAACCCAGTCTAGGATGCACTGGCACAGCACAGTAAGAAGCGTTGTACCAGGCTGGGACGGATGCTGCGCCCCTGCTCAAAGCAGTGTCCTGATGGAGCGTAGGAGGAAAAACCTCCAAGATCACTGACTTACGGGCTCTATCTGCACTTGGAGATCTATCCAGTAAAGTACTTCCTACTGAGGCTATCTGACAAACTTGTCCAAAATCCCCTTGTACCTACCTGACTCTCCACTGACAGCAAGCGGTACCCTTAAAGGCTACTGCAAAATTTCTGCTTATGGCCAGGAAAACAGTTGCAACTTGTTGATTCCTTCCCGCTCTGCGCCACAGAAAGACGAGCTGCCATGTCCTGTGTGAGTTGCTATTTTGGCATCTTGGAAAGGAAACTGCAGCTGAAAGCGTTGCTCTGAGCTGCTCTATGGAGGATGAAGGCGGAGAGGACAGTAGTTGAGTTTGCAGCAGAGGAGTAGGGAAGGATGTGACTGTATGGCTAGCCAAGACTAAGAGGAAGGGGTTTGTGAGCACTTGCAGCTTGCTGAAAATCCAAGAGCAGAGCTGAGCCAGTGGAGCCCTTGGACAGCAAGCCACAACAGCTGTCTTCCCAAAGCTCCCCCAAAACATACTGAAGCGGGCATGCTTGAAGGGGATGTGCTCCACCCCTGAAATCACAAGTGAGAAGAGAAACCCTAACCATTTTGCTGAGCGTAGAGGAACATGGGGCAGGGAGAGGGACAAGTCACAAGAAGAGGATAGTGCAACCTCAGCTTATTGGGTTTGTATCAGAAATCATCACCCACTGCTCCAGCCTGACCCTGGCAGAGCCCAGGACCGCAGCCACGGGTCCTGCGTCAAGCCCGTAACTCAGCGGTGCATTGCGGGGTGTCTTTTAGAAAACATTCCGGTCTGCAGTAAATTCTCCAGGACACTGTTACCTCCCTGGGCACCTGGTCCTGCCAGAGAAAGAGCGAGCAGGGTCATTGATCTGTCCGACTTTGGTGAAAATGAGAGTGAGCAAAACACTCGTAGGAAATTATAACCCCATGGTCTTTTCTGGTATCCTATGAGAAAAGATTGATGGCAGTGTGATCTCTGGCAATGCGATCCCCAGCACTGCGTGGAAGAGGAGGAAGAGCTTCAGCAAGCTCCCTCCAAAAAGCACAGGAGAAATTAGATCAAAGTAACCCCCATCACCCCTAAAACACAAAGACAGGGGGGACAGCACCATAGATTCAGTGTTACGGCATCCGATTCCTGTCCGGCGCTCTGAGAGGGTGAACTGCTCCCTTTAAAGTTGGAGGCATTTCTAGAGGCAGTGGCGGGGGTCCAGAAGAGCCAAGGGGTACTGGAAGTCGGTCCCTTTATTGGGTGTAACAGCTCCCGGATCATCTCCTCCCTTCACCCAAAATCAACAGAAATGCACACATGAAATTTATACCTCCCTGAACAATGTTAACTGCAAATGGTACTAATTAGCGCTCCCCTAAATGGCTGTGATTAGTTTACCAGCTGATGGAATATTTACTCTAGAATTTTTAAAAAAAAAAAAAAAAAAACCAACAACGCAACACAGACACCAAACGCTATTTATTTATTTATTTTACAAATTCCTGCCGCTGGTCGTGCTGAAAATGTGACTCACGGAGTGGGAGCTGAAACTGGAGTGGCTCTTCGACTGAAAAACAGATTAAAGCACAGGAAACACAGCTTGCGAGAACAGGCAGGCGCTTCAAAAGCCATTTGCAACACCAAGTTAACAAATAACGCTGGGCTCCAAGTATGATAAATTAACAATTTTAAAATAATACAACTTCCCCCTCCCCGTCGCCTTGCAAGAGCGGTTTTTCCGTGATGCTCCGCCAGCTCTTCTCCACATCATCGCTTTTGCCAAACTGGTAGGTTCCAGTTCGGTCATAAATTGCTCGATGTCGGACGTGCAGTAAAACGGAGGTGACGGATGTCCCTCGGCTTTCCCTGCCCTGGCGTTTTGGAAGGCGAATCCTTTATAGAGCTCTGGGAACCTCCGCTCCCATCGCTAATCCGCGCCTGCCTCCCCTTGGACAGGCCTGGCCACTTCCTTTCCCAACAAACCTCTTTTTTTTTTTTTTTCCTTTTTTTTTTTTTTTTTTTTTCCCCCCTCTCCCCTGCTTGTTTGCTTTTCAGAAAGCTGATTCAGCCTTAAAGCCGAGCGGGTTGCAACGCCCGGCAGCAGCGTTTTGCATTCTGCCCCCGCTGCCTGCGAGAAAGGCGAATAAACTGCCATGTAATCGCTCGTTTGCAGCCAGGATGAGCCCTTATTTTTATTATTTTATATTTGGGGGGGGGGGCTTTTTTTCCTGTCAGCCCAGCCTCAGAAAGGCGAAGGTGGACAACGGCTAACGGGGAGCTGCTGGGGGGGCCCAGGGT